GTGATCTCATGAATCACGTAGAAATTATTCAACACGCGTTCTCGTCAATATATTTATGACTTCACTGATATTACTTGTTGTGTAAATATTCTTATGTAATATAACGAGCTCGAATGTCAAAATATCATGAGGTTAAAACATTGACAAATTGTAAAGAGTAAATGTGACTTCAGAACAGTTCAATACAGAACATGTCTTAAACTCGGGGGCCTCCTGTTGATACACAATTTGGCTCTGATATATTAAATAATGAATGAAATAAAAAATAACTACCCAATAACCGAGGAGCCAAAAGTACGTGATAAATATATTTAAACAAGTTCTCAAGATTGATCGCTGAAGAGCCGACCAGATCCCTACACGCCGAGTATACTCTCTACCGAGTCGAATGGAATTCATCGTAATCGGATAACAGACACCATGAAGAAACAGCCTCCGGTAGACGTAATAATTGCCGACAAGATAGACGTCAGTCAAAGTTGTCAAAAGTCATATGTGGGTCCTCCAGTTGTCCCATAGCATCAAATGCTAGCGTACTAGTTTATTTATTTATTTTGGTTTTATCCACTTGCAAAAGGGGTGAGCTGTATATATATGGAAAAAATGAGAGAGAAAATGGATGATTTTCACTCATCCCTCTCAACAACTCAAAGAGAGGAAAATTCTCTCAAATGAGAAGAAACAAAAAAAGACCCCATTTCAACATCTTACTTGATTCTTTGATTCAAAAGATTCAATTAATTTTCAACGGTTGATCTTCCGATTTTCGACATCAACGCAACTTATGTTGCGATTCATATATAAGTAAAATAATTCATAATTACATTATTCATTTTTATTAATTATTAAATTTATTGAATGTGATATTTTCGGTTATATAAGTTATGATAAATATATTATACATGCATATGACTTAAAATGTGTTATTTCACATTCACATGATTATCTATTAGTCCTTTATACATCACATGACATTTCATTAAAAAAAATGATATAATGTCTCATTGTATTTATTTAATTAATATTTTTTTTATGAGCATATGCATTGAACTCTAAACTACATATCATTTTTCATCGTCCTTTTCGTTTGGGCCTTTTATTTTTGCGATAAGGACGACCCCGTTTTTTACGCCTCGTGGGCCTCCCATTTAATTTATCAAGAAAAGTTCAATAAAGCAAGAAAAAAAGTAAAGGAAAAGATAAAGATAAATTGTCAGACTGTATAGGCCCACTTATAGGGCCTTTTTTTTTTAATTTTTTTCCATAATCCTCTACATGTTTTATTCATTGGCTGATAGCTACCAGCCGAATTTTTTTGGTTTTTTACTAAAGTATATTTTTAATGCATCTATCATTCTATTGACTTTAAGACAAAATTATATTTAAATTTTAGTTCGGGATATACTTGATTTAATAGTGATTGTCTCCTTTCATCATAAGTCGCACATGATCACATGATATGGATATTTGTAATTTTGTTGTTGATCCACTAAATTAAGGGGCTAAAACGACCTATTCAAATTATTGTATCTAATAATTATTGTCAATGTGTAATGTTAAAGATTAAGTAACTATGTTGTCATATAGACATATCAACAAAGTATTATTATAATATAAAATCAAAATCTCACTAGCAATTAATCATAATATATATATATATATATATATATTCAAATTTAGCTCTGCTTAACAAAACTCATTTTGAACTAATGTTTTTCAATACAAACACACTCATAATATCTTTTTTTTTTTTGTTAAAACGATAGATATACTATAAACTGCGCACAAATGTGCAAAGGATCGACCATTAGCTGAATACAAGTAGTCAAAGGCTGAATACAAGCAGCCAATAGCTGAATAAAAATGGGAGGACAGTCAACAGACCACTGTCATCAGACCGCCTAGAGTCGACCCCAACAGGATAATCCTCGGGCACACAAAATACTAGGACACTAAAAAACTAGAACAAACCCCAGCGGGGTAATACCCGAGTGTGCGATCCCAACAGGATAATAAAGTCACACTCGGGCTAACTGAGCCTAACGACGTAAACTTAAAACACAAGGACAAATACAAGACGAGCACAGACACCTACAACACAAAAACCATAACCAAAACTAAAAGAAAACAAAAGGAAGCCCTTCCCACATCAGTAACGCCAGTCCCAACACGAGGCACCAGAAGAATCACGGACAAACACCCATAGAGATGAACCGCAACCTAGAAATCAACCCCCGAAACTACCGAAAGGCCTAGCTGAAGCCAAAATCCGAGGTCCCGGACAACTCCAAGAAGTGAAAGCCGACCCACTGCCGAAGGAAAGTCGACCAGCCCCCCCCGCACTCCGGCTTCCCAAGACCCGGCCAACACCACTAGCCTAGGTCCGACAAGCTAGACACCCCTTGTCACAACACCAGCGGCGGGGAATATAGGGGCTCGAATCGACCCGCCTCTGTCCCGGCCCACTCAACTCTGACGAGCCGAGCATCCAGAGCCACCCCCAAACCCGACCAAA